ACAAAGATTATATGATACCCCTTTCTTAAAGGATTTAACATACATTTTTGTAGTTAATGAAATGTGTACCTTTTTCAAGTGCAAAGAAAAAACTCCAGAGGGACTCAAAGGAATCAAAAGAGTCAATAATGGAATATCTAGTAATATCATTGGCTATAATAATAAAAAAAGAAAATATATATGATCAATCGAGATAGAGCCTGAAAATCAATAGCCATTTGTAATTTAAAAACAAAATGAATTAAAACTTTTTTATGAAATTAGAAACATATTTAGCTTGATAAAATGTTTTTATCAGAAATTAACTATAAGCATCATAATTAGCTGTAACTCTCTTACACACGCACACACATTAACAGAGTGGAGACATTCTTGTTTACTCTTCTAGACTTATCTTTTTTTTTCTTTTCTTTTTTTTTTTTTTTCCCAAGACTTATCTTGACTAGCTGATTCTAAAATTCATGTGAGAAACAAGTATGTAGTATCAAAGTAATTTTACAAAAGAAGAGAAGTTAGTTAAAGGACTCTTGTTTATTAATGATTAAGAAACACTACAATTAATGGTAATTCAAACCCTTTGGTGTCACAGTGGCAAAAGTGCTTGGAAGCGAACGAAGGCTGTCTTTATACTTTCCACTCACCCTGTGGGAGAAAGGCAATCTTCTGCATAAAGTTGAATCAACTTGATAGCAAGTATAAAGCTGACTCATTAAAGAGGTGGTGCACGCATAAGGAAAGACAAATGTATCTAGAAAATAACAAGAGTAGGATATGACCCACGTGTGTAAGGGAATTGAATATTTACTTTCGTTATATTCCAAATTAATGGGCAAATGATAGAAAAATAAAAATCACTATACATTACAGATAAAACTTGTCTCTAATATTCCATGGATAAAATAAGTTATCAATAGGAGAACTCTGGTGGCCTAGTGGCAAGGAGCTGCAACTACAATCCCATAGTCGCATGGTTCGAATCCACCAGATACTCTGCCGGGGAAGGAGGGGCAGTCTCCTCCTGTACCAGTCAGATCTGATTTGATGGTACACTCACACAAAAATAATAAAATAAAATAAATTTAAAAAAATAAGTTATCAATTGCTAAAAAAATTTTAAAGTCTCTAAATATAATAGAGTCCTTTATCAATTTCTTTATTAATCTATTCATTTATTACTTGCTGTCTTGTTAAACTTTGCCACTAATACTGGAATGAGATGGCATCTCATCGTAGTTTTGATTTGCATCTCTCTCATTACCAGTGATTTTGACCATTTTTTCATATGTCTGTTGGCCATATGAACTCTTATGCATTGTTGGTGGGATTATAAAATGGTACGACCACTCTGGAAGGCAGTTTGGTGCTTCCTCAAAAAGCTGAACATAGAAATTCCATATGACCCAGCTATTTCTCTGCTTGGAATATACCTTGAGAAAATGAGAACTGAGGCTCAAACGGAGACTTGTATACCAATGTTCATAGCAGCATTATTCACCATTGCAAGAACATGGAAACAGTCCAGATGTCCAACCACATTCAATGGATTCAGAAATTATGGTACATTCACATAATTGACTACTACACCATGCCAGATGCAATGATTTTGTAAATTACTACCGAACTTGGGAGGGACTGGAAAGCATTATTCTGAGTGAACTAACTCAGCTCCATAAGGACAATTACTGTATAAGGAGCCAAGGTGGGAAAGCTGGAAGCAGAGGGATGAGGATGGGTAGGGGGTGGGGTGGTTAATCATGGGTTGCACAATTTGATGGGGTGGAGATGAAGGAAATGGGAAAGATCAGATGTGAAAAACAATGTATTTTAATTTTGTAAATAAATCAGTATAAAACTGAGGAAAAAACCCACCAAAAAACCTAACCAAAGAAACCAAGAAAAGGTGATATGACAATAAAACTAAAACCACAAATAGATTGGGAGAAATACTTTGTAAAATAGACAGCACGACCTTACAATGATCGTTGTTATTCTGTGTTCTCAATTCAGGAATGAACCATAGCAGACCTTGCAGCAGGTTTTTGGAAGCAGTAAATCACCCAAGAGTAGACTGTCCGTCCTTCTCTCATGGAGCAGCCAGTGAATTCAAACCATGTGTCTTTGGAATTGCAGCACAGCTTCTTACAGATAAATGGGAATAATTAACAAATCGGAACAATGATAAAGGGTATGAACTTTATCATCTGCTATTTTAAATGTTCCCAGGATTATATTTGCATGTTTTAAAGAAGATATCTTGATGATATGCAAATTCGTGAAGCATTCCATATTTTTGGCTGTAATGTAATGGGGGGGTAGGTGTGTAGGAGACGAGGTTGGCTCAAGATAGAGCAGGGTTCAGAGGTGCTGTATGTAGACAGGGTCACTATGACAACAACAATCTTGATCCTGCTAAGAGCCAGTCCAATAAGCCAAGTCATCAATTATTATTTTTTTTTTCAAATCTGTTATTTTCTGACGGCCTAATGGGTAAGAAGTTTTGCTACCAACCCAAAGACAGTAGTTTAAATCCACCAGGTCTTCTGCAGGACAAAAATGGACAATTTCCTCCTGTGCAATTCCACTGAAAACCCGCTGGAGGGCCAGCTCTGGGTTGTTCCAACTCCATGGCACATAACAGCATTGTTTTCTTACATTGTTCCAGAGCTATAATGGAAAATTAATTACACACCATATTTCTATAGACCTAAACAGACAAAGAATTTTGAAATTCTTACCACTGGGTCCTCAGCTGAGTTTATTTCTTAAGGAAGGACATTTATTAGGTTCATCTGATTATTTTAGCGAGAGAGGTCAGAGTGGTACTAGAACACTAAACCTTGAGTCTTCAGCAAGACTATTAGCTTTAAACTGGCACTTCATGAAAGGGGCAGACCTTGGTTGGTCACTTGAAAAAATGTTTTATTTGCGTGTTATTGAGTGCTCTGCGGAATAGTGTATTTTAGTTGATGCTTTAGTTTGACACTTGTGAACTGAAGGAAATAGATCAAGTGGCCACACTTTTTAAACGGAATAAGCATTATTATTGTCACTATCAGTCACAGACTGTACAGTAAATTGTGCTGGGTGACATTAAACTGCGCAGACTTGGCAAGAACTATTTCAGTTTGGGAGCCCTCACAATACAGGGAGTTAAGCACTTAGCTGATAATGGAAAGGTCAGGGGTTTGAGCCTATCATCTGCTGTGTGGGAGAAGGAGATGGCATTCTGCTTCCAACTGTGAAGACTACAGCCTTGGAAAAGCTGAGCAGCAGTTTCACTCCATTACATTGGGATGCTGCGAATCAGAATGGCTTTCTCAGCAACGAGTATTTAGAATTTTTTTAAAAAAAATTTTATTATTTTTATGCATGTACCATCAAATCAGATCTGACTGGTACAGGAGGAGATTGTCACTACTTCTCCAGCAGAAAATCTGGTGGATTTGAACTGTGCACCTCTGGGATTGCAGTGCAGCTTCTTGCCACTGGGCCACCAGAGCTCCCTCAGTACCTCAATTTAGAAGAGAAAACTTCTCAAAAGTTACATTTTAAGGAATAAGATATAAGCAGAAATTCACCTGAACTTGCCTTAAGTTTTATTTTGTCATAAACATGATAGTATTTTTTCCCATCACTTAAATAGAAATGTTTGTTTTCTATAACAGAGATTTGTTAAAACCATAATGACTAATTTTTTAAAAAAGTTAAATGAGGTACACACGAATATATTGCTCCTCTCCCTTAAAATTAAGAGCAGTTTGTATCTGTCTTCCTTGTAGAGAAATTAGGAAGACTGCCTAGGAAGTGTTTAACAAGCTTTCTATAAGAACAAATTGCTCCTTAGCTTATTATCAGTAACCTGGGTCACTGTCACACATTATTCCTTTGCTTTGCTGAAGGTTCACGCTTGACAAGATCCTCTCTTCTGACCAGTTCCCCAGGCTGTCTGGTTTGTTGAGCTTCCCTATCAGTCTCTCACTCCAGGTGATTAGAGCAAATACATCCCGGTGATCTAGCTAATTTATAGAAGAGAGAATCAATTTCTCTCCTTTCATCATGACTGAACATTTTCCCAAACTCCTGTAAATGAGTAATAGATAAGCACTATTTATCAGATTGTTTTATGGAGCACACAGTTTTGATTATTCTATTTTCTTGTTGCTACTAATGAAATATGTAATATGCTTCAAGGGGAAAAAATTGCGGAGCTCGGTCTCAGAGCACGCAGAAGGCAGGATGTACTTTGCTAAGGTTTTGTTTTGCACCCACAAAGTTTTCTAAGAGCTTACTCTTTCTCTCCAACAGCCCATGGGAGGGCAGCAATGTCCATGGGCCTCTGAGAAGTCTACCAGAGTTCCATGTCTCCGGGTCTGGAGAACCGAGGTTTGCTAAGGCCCTTCCTTTGCACTTACAGGCAACAGTTTTCTGGCTAATCCCTGTGAAGCTCATATTGGCCCAAGTAACACTGACATCTTCAATCTGAGAAACCGAGGAATTTTTCGCTCCCCTCATATCATTTGAACAGATTTTCTCCATATTGTTATCTATCCATCACACATGAGAAGAAAACAAGAGGAGACGCACCATGGACTAGGATCAGCAACATTATTTTTCCAAACTCTGCCACAGGTAAGTGCACAAGGAACAGAAAAGTGCTTGCTGAATCCACAATGCAAACACAATAGAAAGCAGGTGAGTTAGAGGTTGTTACAGCATTTAGACACTTGAGAAGCATCCCCACTTTTCTCCCATATGTAAAGGGAGGCATTTCACAGACTGCTATATAGGAATAAATCATTTATCTTACTTTTTAAAAGGTGGTAATTACAATTAAATGTGTGAGAGGAGACAGGAAGATAGGATGGCCATTAGCCCTTCCTCCAGGCTTCTAGCCACCCAGCTCCAAGAGGTTTGAGTTCTGGAAACAAAAGCAGGAGCTTCAGGAGATGGATGGGCTGGGGCCAGAGAGCTGACCTGGATGTCACCTCTCTCTTGCTTACCAAGGTCCATGCTCTTTGAGGCTTTCAGATTAATTGATTCAGGCTGCCTGGCCGGTGTCAATGGTCTGAAGCTGATGTTCTGATCTGGAACATACACTGATGAATCCACTCCAGAGCTGTGGAAAGAAAACCGTATACCGGAGTTGAGGCTTCAAATAGAATCTTTCTTTCCTTCTCTTTAATATTAAAGGGTGCAGTTCTTCTTTGGAACACAAACCCTCATCACTCTTTTTGCAGCTCCCAGTCAAGCATTCTAAACCAATTCTGGATTCTCAGTTTATTTTATGAGATACAGCAATCCTGTTTTCATCACACTGCACCATTCAAATAAAATATTCTCTGGCTAATATCATGTTTTACTCTTCACTGATTTCTTCTAATTGGGAACCTACTGTACAATATATAATGCTGAGTGGAGAAGGCGAGCCTGAAAAGCACTGGTACTTGAAAGGAAGCCACAGGTATTAGCAGAGATCAAAAGCAATCTGAGATTTTGGGGGCGCTAGAACAGCACATCAGCAGAGAACTGCCAGAAGTCCAGGCTGGGTTTAGAAGGGGTCTTGGTACTAGGGATATTGTTGCTGATGTTAGATGGATCTTGGCTGAAAGCAGAGAATACCAGAAGAGTGTCTATCTGTGTTTCATTGATTATGCAAAGGCATTTGACTGTGTGGATCATAACAAACTGTGGCTGACTCTGAGAAGAATGGGAATCCCAGAACATTTAATTGTGCTAATACGAAACCTATACTTGGACCAAGAGGCAGTAGTCAGAACAGAGCAGGGTAAAACTGCATGGTTCAAAACTGGGAAGGGTGTACCGCCAGAGATGCATCCTGTCTCCATACCTTTTCAACATGTATGCAGAGCAGATTATCCGAGAAGCTGGGCTCTATGAGGAGAATTGTGGCATCAGGATTGGTGGAAGATCTATTAACAATCTGTGTTATGCAGATGACACAACCCTGCTTGCTGAAACTGAGGAGGACCTCATGCACTTGCTGCGAAGGGTCAAGGACTGCAGTCTTCAGTATGGACTGAGGCTCAATGTCAAGAAGACAAAGATTCTCGCCACTGGACCAATTGGCAGTGTCAGGATGGATGACGAAGAGATTGAGAGTGTTCACAGCTTCAGTTTGCTTGGCTCCACAGTCAACACACTTGGCACCAGCAGTCAGGAAATCAAAAAACGTATCGCGATGGGAAAGTCTGCTGTTAGGGACCTCTCAAAGGTACTCAGGAGCAACAGTGTCTCTCTGGAGACTAAGGTGCGCCTGATACAGGCCATGGTCTTTGCAATCGCTTGTTATGCATCAGAGAGTTGGACAATGACTAGGGAGGACAGAAGGAGAGTGGATGCTTTTGAGCTGTGGTGCTGGAGAAAGGTACTGAATGTACCATGGACTGCCAGGAAAACAAACAGATTCATCTTGGAGAGGATTAAACCAAGCTACTCCTTGGAGGCAAGGATGCTGGGGCTTCGTCTGACATACTTTGGACATGTTGCCAGGAGGGACAGGTCCTTGGAGAGGGACATCATGCTTGGAGGGTGGAGGGACAGCGCAGGAGGGGAAGACCCTCTATGAGATGGATCGATTCAGTGACTGGGGTAATCGGGATGGGTGTGTCAGAGGCAGTGCAGTTGGCGCAGGATAGAGCAGGGTTTAGGGCTGTTGTGCATAGGGTCGCTATGAGTCGGAAATGACTCGACGGCACATAACAACGACAACAACAACAAGTGTACCTTATGTGAAAGGGTTAATAGTCTAATTTTTTTATTAGAAAATCACCCAGTTGGATGGCTAATCTGGTAAGGACGTTTGGCTTCCTACTTTATTTAGTTCTATTTTCTAAAACTATTAGTAATGCTGAAGAAACAGTCTGTTTATCAGTAATACCAGAAGAAGCAACAGGAAAAGCTCTGTTGACACTTTAGACGCAAGATACATGAGATGCCCTGATCAGCTTTCTAGCCAATATCAATATTCTTTCTGATGAGTATTGCATTTATTTGCTCGAGGACAGAGGAGATTATATAAGAAACTATGGAAAATGCCTTATTTTTGGATGTAAGAATAAGTTACATTTGTAAATACTTTATAAACAATACCATAATTATTTCCCCCCTTGGTATTCTTGAATATTTAGGAAGTAAATATGGTAAGTCATTTCAACATAATGCCTGTTCTGAGGGAAAATACATCAGAACTGCAAATGATGAAGTAGCCTTGGTAAACACAAAAGGAATGAAGCTGGAGGTTTTCAAGCAGTTTGGCGCTTGACACTTTAAACAGCAAAATAAAAGCCTGTGAATGTATTAACTATTTTGAAAGGGAATCCTAAAACAAACAGGTGATCCTGACTTTTTAACCAAATATTACACACTATAATAGGTTTACTCTTTTCCTGAAATTCACCAATCTTGCCTATTTAATACTATCTTAAAATCCAGCAGTAACAATATTGCTGCATTAGAAAATGAATGAATCTCCAGCATTGTAGCATAATAGGAACCTGTGATAGGAAGGATGAGAAGTGCCAACAGCATAGAACTCTGAAAGCCCAGGTGTCCGAATGGGGATATGCTATGTTAGCTGATCTCAACTTGTTGTAACCCCACAGGATGGTTAAAACTGCTGCATAGAATGCTTTGCTGAAATCTTTCTAGAAGCAGATCACGAGGCTTTTCGCGGAGTTGCTGGGTGGATTTTAATAGATAACCTATTGGTTAACAGTGGAATGTGTGACTGTTGTACCACCAGAGCTCACTGTTTCTTAATTCAGTCTTTGCTACTTATTAGCTGTGTGATTTAGCTAGCTTACTGGCCTTGTCTGTGTTTTAATTTCCTTAACATGCGAAATTAGACATAATTACACATAATTGAACTCTTTCAAAGTCACGATTCAAAACACCCAAATGTGAATGCATTACTGTTGAGTCAGAACTGACTCACAGCTGACCCTCCGATGTGTTTTCTGAGGCTGTAACTCACATGGGTGGAGACTGCCCATCTTTCTACCTACGAGCTGCTGGTGGATTCAAACCACTGTAGAGGTGCAGCCTTTGAGAGAGCAGTGCAACTCCCTATAGACTAGGGCACCAGAGATGAACTGACATTTGTAAAATGAGGAGAAGAGAGTTTTGGCAGAGAGTAACTGCTATCTATAGAAGTAACTGGGAAACAAATAAGAAGCTAAATACATATGTGGCTCTTCACTTGGCAGATGAAAACAAAAAGGTCTCTGAGCCTTCTGAATTCTTAGGAATGCTGGTACAGTTTCTTTACCTTCCTTGTTTTTGTTAGGTTCTCAGTAGACCTACACGTAAAAGCTCTTCTCTCTTTCCAATTACAAGGTTAATGCAGTAGTCTGGTTAGAGGCCTGGGCACTAAATTGAGATGCAGGGTTATTTGGCATCAGTTCTCTCACCACAAATGGATGGTAATTGCATTTACCCAAAATAGTTTTCAAGATTGAATAAATTAAGATATGTTACCCACTAAGAATAGCATCTTATACCTAGTTAGAGCTCAATAACCGTGCACTATAATGCAGCCAGTTTTGAATAACGGTTACACTGTCCAATAGAGAGAGAGAGGTATTTGTGTTTTCAAGAAGTTTAAGTACACTCTTTTATGTCATAAATTTTTTCTTTCTTATTAATATCTACTTATATTCTCAAGAATAAAACTGTCTTTATATAAAATGTTTTATATGTAGCAATGATATTTTTCTACCTGGGCATCTAAGTGATTGTAAAATAAGGCAACTGTAGAAAAACCTTGACCCACATATAGGCGTGGACCTATATCTGCCTGCCCATTTTAAAGAATTCTGAGATACTGTTCTGAACATGGGCACCTCTCTGAACCTTGAATATTATGTGAAAGCTCTTGCCTTGAAATGTGTTATTCGACCTTTACATGCACTTTGTTCCTCATCCTTTGATCCCTCAAGATGATGGGGTTTTAGTGTCAGGAAGACTCACAGGGCTTTCACAGAATCAAAGAATTTAAGAGCGGGGAGGGATTAAAGGTCATCTCACCTAACCCTTCACATTTTAGATAAGACCTTGATACTCCAAGAGGACAGATGTGCCCCAGATCTCACAGCTAGCTAGTGGCAAAGCCGGGAACAAAACTTTGCTTCCTTAAACTCTTCCAGAGTCACAAGCATTGGTTAAAATGGTGGTCAAACCAGGACACAGACTGATACTCTGTGTTTGGATAAATCAAATGTTTCTCTTTCAGCAAAGATTCTTTTACACTGTTTGATGCAGTCTGCATTTCAGGTTAGCTTTTGGATTCAGGAATGAGGCACATATTTATTATTAAATAAAAGAAAACAAATAACTAATCAAAACCGATGCCATATTTTATAATGCAAGCCTTCAGGGAAGAGGTTTAGGACCAATATGCATATATTTTATTAAAACATAGATCACACTGCATTTAAAGTGTTTGGCTCAAGGCAGACTATGGAAATCTACTCAAGTGCATAATGTATTGATTAATCCAACTCATTGACTTACAGTAGTTTACCAAACTAGGCATTAATTGACAAATTAAGAATAATAATTCAAATTTCCCCAAACTCCTGGGAAACAATTATTCTGGTCCCTCCAAAGACCAAGGACATAATGTTCATTCATAAAGTAACCTCCTCCAGTTAGGATCTGTTTAAATAATGTGAATTTTTTAAACAGATGCTGAGATACAATCAAGGATAATAAAATAAATATCATATGAATATATGATATATGAACATATATGTACTATGAAATACATATGGAAATAAATATGTAATATGAGTATAACAATCTTGTATACACACGCACACACACACACACCTGATTGTGTTCACGAAAGTGATCAGAATGACATACTTCAAAAAGCCTTGATGATACAGTTGTTAAATGCTTGACTACTAACCTAAACATTGGTAGTTCAAACCCACTATCCACTCTATAGGAGAAAGATACAGCAGATTGATTTCATAATGTTTTATAACCTTGGACAGTTTGCTCTACTCTTATATGTAACCATGTGTCAGAACTGATGTGACACTAGTAGGCTAACAACATAACTCCATTAGGATTGCTTTGTTTGTGGTCAAACAGATAGTTTGAGAACCTACAAAGAAAGGGTCATCTCTGCCTTCACAGAAAATGGAAATAATGTCAGATATGGCTTATATCAGATTGGCAGATATTTTAGAAAGGAAGAGTAATAGAAGGCATTATGGTACCGAAGTGGGAGAAGTGTGACTACAAGCCTCTGGAAACCCACCGGAGGGTCAACTATGGGTTAGTTACGACTCTTTAGTACACAACAACATGGTATTGAAGTCAATCACACTGGGCAATAGGTTGTTATATGTGTAATATGTGATACAGAATTCATTAATGTCTATTTTAGATACTTAACACATTAGGCTAGTAAAATGATTTTTAGTTTTATGCTACGTTTTGAAAGTTTCTAGAGTGAGAGAGTGACACAATAGTTAACAGTAAGAGATGGCACAGTGGAATTTTGAAGGGAGCAGGCATGTGCTCATGGCTGAGCGGGTTGCAGCAGAGGCTGCGAGAAGCTGGAAGTTGACAGCAGGCCGAAGACATGTCTCGGATAAAGGTAGTATTTTCAGCATGAACAACCAGGAAATCTATCAAATAGAAATGATTCTCAATGTCAAATTATGCTGCATAATGAATAAATAAGGGTAGCATGAAACACACGCCAGCGGCCAGAGTGTGGTGACAAATCAGGAAGGTCAAGGGCAGAAAAGAGCCAGCGATGAATATTGAGGGGGGATCATCTGAAATAAGAAGCCAGGGTGAGATGATTTTCAGAGGCATGGCAAAAAAAATGTCACAACTGAAGCCTCATGTGTCCATGGATTTGTCCCAGCAACTGGCTTCACTGAGCGAAAGTAAATAGAGGTCACATGTTTGATAGAAAGAGACTAAAAGAGTGGCTGGTGGTGATCGGAGTAGATAGATATGTATACAGACAAAAATATAAATCTATATATAGAAACAGGGAAGAAAAAGAAGACAGACACACACAGGGGATGATCAAATGTAGTCTAAGCGGTTTCTAGAATCCAATATATTTCATTTCCTGGTGCATTGTCTTACACTCTGTGGTCTCACACGCATCTAATCCTTTCTTTCTCTAATAATTATTTACATAACATAGCAGTACAACTAAAAACATTTACAACACAGTAAAACAAATGCTCCCCTTTTGATACATGATCCAGACATTCAGTTTAATCAAAAGCATTTCCCATCCCTTATGCGCCAGGAGCCCTCTGTTTTTCACTGAGTCTTTCCCTAACATACCACTTCTCTCTTTTAGAGGGTTTCTAATTTCTTTTAAAAGGCAGAACAGCCTCCTTTGCTCAAACCTCCTGGCTCGCTCTCAATCCTTCCTCCATCCCAAGTTTCACACATCCAAACCCTGCTGCTGTTGGTCACCTAGCAACGCAGCAGCTTGCAGGATGGGGTGTGTAGGTCACAGATTCCCAGGAGGGAGAGAAACTCATGGCATTAGACTTGTTCTTTGCATCTTAAAATGCCTTTTAGTTCTCCCTTCCCGTCCACCCAGGCGGTTTCTTCATTCACGCCCTTCTCTTCTCATGCTGGTGTCCATTCGGCTTGGTATCCTCGTTTCAGGCCTTCCTCCTGTTCACTTCATCCTGCACTGACTGAACTATCTCAACCTGATACTGTCACACATCTGGGCTTGTGGCTTTCATGCTTTTTCACGCTCTCTGAAAAAGCCTGGTGCTGACCAGCCATGTCAGCTTAGACATGTTCCACTCTAGATGCACCACGAAGAAAAGACTATGCTCTTCCTCCTGTTTCCCAGAAAGCTCTTCTCTGTACTCCAAGAACCAATCCGAACAATAGTTCACCTGTGAAACCTTCCTGGGCCCTTGCTGGCCGAGTGAGCGGCTCACTCCCCAGGCTCCCATGCTGTTCCGTATCAAATGCTTAGTAGGATGGATCCTAATCATCCATGTGTTTATCCTTTCAACAATGAAATGAATTCCTTGAAGGCTGGGATGCTTTCTAATCCATTAGAGTCCCTTATACATAGTGTCTGTCTCAAAGCTCCAGAAATCCTTTTCAATGGATGAGTGAGGGAATGAAGGACCCAATGACCAAATACAGTAGCACAGAAAAGAAGAACAATGTCAGAGAAAATGCCTTACTTTGCACTGAAAGGAGATTACTACTGACCTTTAAAGAAAGCAATCCCAGAGGAGTGGTGTGAACAGGACAGTAGCCTGAGGGGATTATGGAGGGAGAGGTCATAGGAAAATGGACCTTACTAGCTCGTACCATAAAATGAAAATTCACAGCAGTGAGGGCCAATATAAGCCTTCTTCCAAGATCATGGAAGAATTTATTTTGTAAATAAGGAAGAAATGTGCAGCAGTTGAAGAAGGAAGCAGTCAAAAGGCAGTTACGAAATCTCAGTACTTCCCGGTCTGTACTACATATGCACCATTTCTCTAACCTGAAGGTTTCTCATCCATCAGTTTGCCCCTGGACTCCGGGCAGAGTTCTCTTCTCCAGCTGTCACAGCTGGTATCCAATGAGTTTTGGTCTTCTAGTAGCTACAAACCCTCCAGCAGTTACCCAATCCATGTCACACACATAAAACTCCAGTTTCTATTGTGTCTATTGTCTCCTCAAGACCTTACAATAGATTTCACTGTCTAAGCACTTATCTGTGCACTCTGGAATTATCATCAGGCTAATCAGTCACAAAGCAAGTAACATATTATTTTACTTTTCCATCTCTAAGTTATTTCTTCTGCCATTTCTTCTATGTAAAAGTGCCATTTCTTCCTGGGCTTTCTAACATCCAACCTCTATCTTTTCATCCTTTAAGATTTAACTTGAGTGCCACATTTCTTAGAATATTTCCCCTAATTTCTACATTTGGAAGCATCTTCTTTTCCTCAGAAGCCCAAATAACTTTATCTGCACATTTGGGTAAATACTTCATCAGGCCCACATGTGTTCCAGTTACCATTTTGACTGATTGGCTAAGCGAGTCTCTAGAAGGTAAAGTATATATTTCATTCTTGTTTGTACCTTCCGAATGACTTGGTACATATATGCAGCACAATCGGTCAAGTGGAATCGATGTAAGTATTGTTAAAGTGGATGCTTTTGAATGCCACTGAGCTGCCAGTTAGGATTCAGGACAGAAGCAGGGAGTAGAAACAAAGTTAATTGTGTCCACATTTTCAAGAAATCTTGAACTCCCAAGATACTGATCCAGAACACTATTGTGATTATCAGTTCATTCAGGAAATTATATGTGGGTACAATAACTGACTTAAAAAATATAAGAATCACATGGCTAAATATGTTGTTTTTGTTGTTGTTATGTGCCGTCGAGTTGTTTGCGACTCATAGCGACCCTATGCACAACAGCCCTAAACCCTGCTCTATCCTGCGCCAACTGCACTGCCTCTGACACACCCATCCCAATTACCCCAGTCACCGAATCAATCCATCTCATAGAGGGTCTTCCCCTCCTGCGCCATCCCTCCACCCTCCCAAGCATGATGTCCCTCTCCAAGGACCTGTCCCTCCTGGCAACATGTCCAAAGTATGTCAGACGAAGCCCCAGAATCCTTGCCTCCAAGGAGTTGCTTGGTTTAATCCTCTCCAAGATGAATCTGTTTGTTTTCCTGGCAGTCCATGGTACATTCAGTACTCTTCTCCAGCACCACAGCTCAAAGGCATCAACTCTTCTTCTGTCCTCCCTAGTCATTGTCCAACTCTCTGATGCAAAACAAGCAATTGCAAAGACTATGGCCTGTATCAGGTGCACCTTAGTCTCCAGAGAGACACCGTTGCTCTTGCGTACTTTAGAGAGGTCCCTAACAGCAGACTTTCCCATTGCAATACGCTTTTTGATTTCCTGACTGTTGGTGCCAAGAGTGTTGACTGTGGAGCCGAGCAAACTGAAGCTGTGAACACTCTCAATCTCTTCGCCATCCATCCTGATGCTGCCAATTGGTCCAGTGGTGAGAATTTTTGTCTTCTTGACATTGAGCCTCAGTCCATACTGAAGACTGCAGTCCTTGACCCTTCGCAGCAAGTGCATGAGGTCCTCCTCAGTTTCAGCAAGCAGGGTTGTGTCATCTGCATAACGTAGATTATTAATAGATCTTCCACCAATCCTGATGCTACAATTCTCCTCATGGAGCCCAGCCTCGACATCTCTAATAGAGCTAGCTATACCCTTGTTGTGTTGTTTTAGTATAATTTTATTAAAAAGTATAGTGACACTAACATTGCTGCAAGAAAAATGAAGAAGTTTTACAGGATTATCATGGGACACAGAATGGAATAAAATATACAGTTTTGAGTACCTATAATAAATATAGCAAATAACAAAAAGACTATTTAATGATTTTTAAAACTCATCAGAAGAACAAAATCTATGAATTCCACTATTCAAATGATAAGTATGCTGAGTAAATCTCTCTCTCACATGTTTGTATGATTCTAAATATTATTGATTTCTTAGTTTCTATTAGAGGGTGCTTTTCAATATTTTAGATTATATATGGTGTTGCTTTAAATTTTAGATCTCATTAACTTTCTTGGAACATCTATTTTTAAAATATCTTTAGGGTTCATCAATTCAAAAAAGTGGGGTAACTTTAAGCTTCATGTTTTCTCAGTTTCATTTATAATTTCCGATAGAATGTTCTTTCAGCTCAACTGTTTCTTTAAACTTGTAAAAGCAAATGCAGCTATTTTATTAAGAATTTTATTAATATAAGATGAAAAACAGCTAATTCCAAGATGTAAAAATACAGTGTACGCTATTAACTATGAGAAGCCTTTACTGGAAAGGAATTATGAATACTAGGGTATTTCTGGTCTGGAAAGAAGTAAAAGTTAAAATAAGGTTGCTGAGTTTCCCCAGAAAAACCGTAACTGGGAACATTTACAATCTATCATTTTCTTGATACCTGTGGCTGTAATCTTCAAGGCCCAGTTCCAGCCCAGGATGTCGTGGGGGAGTGGGTGGTACTTCAGTCTCTGTCCATCCATCATTGGGTAGCATTAGCTCTATAAACAAATAACAATGAAGCTGTAGTAAACTGTGGGCAGAACCACTCAGTGATTGGTTTTGTTTCCCTCTCACAGACACAATTTTAACCAGAACATAAACCAGCCTTGAAGTAAATAACATCTCTAATGATACTGAAGGAATCATATGGAAGTGCACACAGCCTCTGTGAGGAAATCTAAGCTTGCTAATATGTTTTTACACTGGTGACCTGCTGGCAACCCCTGGCAAGACACGTCAATGCATCATGGCTACCTCCCCAACCTATGAAAGACTGACATATATTCATTACCTATTATTTCCAGAAGAGTAGTGAAGCCACCTCTTTTAGGTTTTAACTTTTATATAAACAGGATTCCATGATGAATATTCTGAATTGCATGGTGATTTAATTGTATATATACCTCAGTGGTCAAACTACTTTTAAAATATCACGAAATTTCCTATGTACAATCACAATTCAAGCACAGTATTTGGGTACACTTTTTTCCCCCAATTGTGTCATAAAAGAATCAACTGGTTTGAAATCAAGAAGGTGTGGGGTGGGGGGGAGAGAGGTGGGAAAACAACCGAAATAAAAACCATGGGATTTGAGTCCTGGTATCATAGTCATTCTCTACTGGAAAAGGAAGACACTTACCTTGAATCTTATTAAAACTAATAAAAAAGTATCGTTCTTTAAGATCTTATTGTTTACTGTGCTATTACATGCTTTGTATCATTAAATAGCCATAACTAGTGATAATAATAACTTATACACAAAATTTATGGTTTTGGGAGCAAATTTTTCAGGCTCCTATTGTTCTATCATTGGTAACTGTCTACAACTCAAAGCAATCCTATGAACAATAAATCCGAACCTTACTTTATCTTGTACCATCTTCACTATTTCTGACAATATTATTAAGAAACCAGTCACTGAAGACAGATGTCTTGCTGGGAAGGTAGGGGGTCAGAGGGAAAAAGGAAGACCCTCAATGAGATGGACTGACGCAGTGACTGTCTCATGGGGCGTGAGCATGACAGAGATCCTGAGGACACTGTAGGAGGGGGCAAGGTTTAGATCTGTCATTTACAGGGTTGCTAGCAGTCTTAGTCAACTTGATGGCTCCTAAAAACAACAACAACATTATTAATATCACAGCAAGTAAAATATTGCTGAGAATAATGCAAAAAAATGTTGCAGCAGTATATAAAAAAGGGCCTTTCAGAAATTCAAGCTGGATTCAGAAGAGAAGAGAACACTGAATAAAAGCTACCACTGCTGAGGTCAGATGAATAGCAGAAAATACTAGAAACGTGTTTTTCTGTGTTATATGCATTGCGTCAAGTCTTTAGACTACGTGGATCACAAAAAATTCTAGTAACATTGTGAAGAATGAAAATTCCAGGACACTTAATTGTGCCCATGCTGAATCTGTATGTGCATGGACAAGAGACATTTGTTCAAATGGACTCAATTAAAATAAGGAAAAGTGTGTTTCCGGTCTTGTATCCTTTCACCATACTTATTCAATCTCTCTGCTGAGTAAATAATCTGAGAAGCTTGTATGAACAAGGCCTGGAAGAAGTTTCATTAGGAACTTGTAATATGCAGATGACATAACCATGCTTGCTAAAAATTAAAGCTTAAAGAAATTACTGATAAAGATTAAATATGAATTATTCCTAATATAAAAAAAAGTAAAAGTATTCACATCTGGGTCAATAACATCCTAACAATGAAGAAAAGTTTGAAGTTATTGATGATTTCATTTTGCTTGGATCCACAATCTACATCACTGGAAGCAGCAGTCAAGACATGAAATGCACATGTAAACAATTAATAAGCAAATGTGTCACTTTAAGGACTAAGACCTGACGCAAGCCACGGTATTTTTAATGGCATCACATGCTTATGAAAGCTGGGCAATGACTAAAGAAGACTTAAGAAGAGTAGATTCTTTCAAATTATGATATAGCAAAGAAAACAAAATATATCGTGGACTGACATAATGCATGAATAAATCTATTTTAGAAGAAAAAAGCCAGAAATCCTCTTTTGTAGAAGGAAAGATGGCTTGACTTCATCCCACATACTCTGGATATCTTATCAAGAGGGATGGGTCTCTAGAGAAAGGCATCATGATTGGTAAAGGGTTTGCATGAAAAAGAGAACCCAGATAAGATAGAGTGAGGACAGTGGTTGAACAATGGGCTCATGCAAAGCAGTGGCCGTGAGGGTGGCAGCCAGCTGAACTATGGTCCATCCAGTTGTAGAAAAGGTCTCTGTGAGGAACATCACCAGGGCACCTAACAGTAACAGCAGCATAAAGAAGGCCTGTGGATTCCACTGGAAATACAAGATGCAATCTCCTTTGTTTTGAAATAAAATTGTCATTGTGATTTTAATGAGCACATACAGAAAAGTTAGATTTTCATTCATTATTGCACATTTAACCTCCTCACCCTCCCCTTGCCCAGTTCACTTTTTTTTTAAAAAAAGTATTCATTCATTGTTGCACAATTACCTACCTCCCCCAGCCCCCAGACCTATTTGCAGTGATATATTTCATATTCTAGACTGTTGTATATATAATGCCTAATCATATATTCATTTTAGACAGTTCTTTCTTTCATCTCTTCCCATTTGACATAAATTCCCGTGAAGGCCTACAGTTCTGGCTCTAGTCACTGCTTCATTGATGTTCACAGGGTCCTTTTAATCACCACCTTTTCTTGTGAATGTGGTTTGTTTTCCAGGGCCAGATCAGAAATGAGGGGTAAAAGAATGATGAACTAAAATTTCGGCAGATTGTGTGCTTCCTTGGGCCCAAGCCAGACTATCATGTTTTTGTAAATCAAGGTTTGTTGGAACACAGCTATGACCATTTCTTTCCATACTATCTCTGGTTAGTTTGGCACTGAATGGTAATGAAGCGGACCAATGCCATGAAGTGAAAAAGCTGTGACAAGAGATCTATAACTTGCAGAGCCTAAAATACTTATGATCTGAACTCTACAGAAAAGGCTTGGCAATCTCTGCTTTAGACCATTTGCAGGGGGAAAGTAATGGCACTGCTTTCCCCCTTGCATCCCACAGAATGTGTCCTAATGCAATGAGGGTGCTCAGTTATCTTTAGTCATATTTAAAAGTATAATTCAGGGAGAGCTCTGGTGGCCTAGTGGCAAGAAACTGCACTGCAATTACAGAGGTACGCGGTTCAAATCCACCAGATGCTCTGCTGGAGAAGGAGGGGCAATCTTCTCCGGTACCAGGCAGATCTGATTTGACGGCACACACACACACAAAATAATAAATTTTTTTTTAGAAAAAGTATAATTCAATCGCTGATCACTGCTCCAGATGCAGTGTCTTACATGCGGTAGAGGGTGAGGTGCATGCTGGTCCCACAAACATGCATTAGGAACAGTTATACAATCATATGCCTCTTTAAAGGACCCCAGAGAACAAGGATATAGTGGAACTAGACTAAATGGAAATGTTTGATTTAAGGTGGGTGTGAAGGCCTCGGCGAGTGACCCTGAGTAGAAAAGAGGACAGTGAGTGCCTGAGGTCAGGAGTTGAGACACACTTGATATTACAGGGAAGGACGAGTAGGGTGAGAAGCAGAAAAGCAGAGATGAGCGTCCTGAAAGGGAAGCAATAATGAGCCAGCAGCTAACTCTGCCATGGCGATTGCTTTGCCCAGGGTGAGATCTGCCAGTGAGATTCTCAGAAAATACAGTATCGGTGCACTTCGTTACCATTCAGATGCTTAATAGGATTTTCTAGAGAACCCGTGGGACACAACCTCCATCCTTATTACCATCCCGGAGCACCACATTTACTCCACTGCAGGCACAGCTAGTATTTCTCCAACACAAATGTGAATTTTCTGGTGTTATGATTCCTATAAATGTTAATTCTAAAAATGCCTTCTCTGTGTAACAGCTTGACAGGAATTAAAAAAATACATAATGTGGAGACTGTGGGTGGTATGTACTATTACTACAAAAATAGATGGACTACAGCATATCAACACTGGGTTTTTAAATATACAAAAGGAAAAGGGAAAGGGGAAAGAGTCAATGTTTTGTTTGGCTGCAACAAGGCCTCTCCTTACTAGACATATCGTTTTGTCAAGTCTCTCCTGTTTTATGGCATGAGCTCTCATCATGTAGTCCACAGGGAGGTAGGGAGGTGCACCAAAGCTACATGGCAGTTCAAATTCTCTAGCAATGCCTTAGGAGGAAGTTGTATCATTTCCTTCTGTGAAATAAACAGCCTCAGAATCATGCCGGAACAATGGATAAACATGATATTATATAACGGAGTCACAACGAAATAGTAACAGATTTTGCTTTTGAAAAAAAAATTAATGTGTTAATGGAGTTAGTTCTTGAAATGGTTAGATTTATAATGTTATTCTTGGGAACTAAGAAAGGCAAAGAGAATCCCTGAATATAGATGATCTACATATCTGCTCGTTCCCTTTTCCATTGGTAAAAACGTTGTTCTACTGGGTCTGCGTCTCAGGAGAAAGAGAAGAGACCAAATCTCCCATTGGTCATCTCTGACCACTTGTGACCAAACCTAACAGTAAAGATCTTGGGAATAGTTTACTAAGGTCCAAATTATTTCTGCATTGTTTAAAGCATGTATTTTTATTTAAAAATAAAACTCCAAGTCTATCCTTATACTTTATCTTGCATTATTTGTGTAATGCATTGTTATGATATTTATTACTCCCCTTCTGGAAATAGCATCCCATGAGTACTTCGACGTCCTCTAAAATATGTAGCAATATAGGCAGCAACTTGCCCAGTGTTCCTGTGGAAGTCACCAATGTCATCAGAAATAGGACCATGGACTTGGATTATCACTGGATGACATGCTCCTTGAGAATGAAATGTCAATCAAATGACATTTAACATGTCATTTTAATATAGACACTAATCTGTCTGATCATGAATTATAGACATGTGGAGAAAGGCCACTCTATTCTTTAGGAAACTTGCTATTCCTTCTTCAGCCTCTTGCTATTGTGATTTTAAGGTCTCAGGAGATTTTTGTTCTGTCAAAAGAACCTCTAAATTCATTAGGAACATGAGAGAAGTAAGCTGAAGTATGTCTTTAGCAACACATAAAGTCAGCTGCTAAAAATGAACATGCTCAATGTACAATCAAAGTACTTCAGCAGTTTGAAGAAATTAATGCAGGGCAGTGCTCAGTGTGTGGTGGAGGGCATGATGACCTCTATCAAAGAGACATGTCTGAAGCTCAGCTCTGTGTTTACCAAGGATATGATTTAGAGTGAATGATTTACTCTCTCTGACCTCTATTTATTCATCTGTTAAATGAGAATTACCTATTTATTGCATGTATCTGTATTGATTGAACCATGCAGTGTTCCCTTACTCTGTTCTGAAAACTGCCTCCTGGTCCAAGTATAGGTTTCACATAAGCACAATCAAGTGCTCTGGGATTCCCATTCTTCTCAGAGTCAGCCACAGTTTGTGTGGTCCACACAGTCAAACAACTTTGCATAGTCAATGAAACACAGATAGCCATTCTTCTGGTACTTCCTGCTTTCAGTCAAGATCCATCTAACATTATCTAAAACATCTCTAGTACTACAACACCTTCCAAACACAGCCTACATTTCTGGCAGTTCTCTGTTGATGGGTTTGCTCCAGTTGTTATTGGATAATCTTCACCAGAATCTTGCTTGCATATGATATCAATGATATTATTCGATAATTTCCACACTCTGTTGGGTTACCTTTCTTTGGAATGGGAACAAATATTGATCTCTTTCAATCAATTGGTCAAGTGGTTGTCTTCCAGATTTCTTGGCCCAATTTGGTGAGCACATCTATGGCAACATCTGTTTGTTGAAATATACCAATTGGTATATGCCAAGGATGCGTCCTATCTCCATACCTTTTCAATCTATATGCAGAACAGATTATCCAGGATACTGGGCTCTACGAGGAGAAGTGTGGCATCAGGACTAGAGGAAGACTCATCAACAATCTGCATTATGCAGATGACACAACCCTGCTTACTGAAACTGAGGAGGACCTAAGGTGCTTGCCGTAGAAGGTCAAGGACTGCAGCCTTCAATATGGATTGAAGCTCAATATCTAGAAAATAAAGATTCTCACCTCTGGGATGATTGGCAGCATCATAATGGATGGTGAAGAGATTGAGATTGTTAATAGCTTCAGTTTGCTTGGCTCCACAATCAACACTATTCGCACCAGCAGTCAGGAAATTGAGATTTATTACATTGGGAAAGTTTGCTGTCCAAAGTACTGAAGAGCAATGATGTCAGTCTGAAGACTAAGGTGCTCCCGATACATGCCATGGTCTTAGCAATGACTTGCTATGCATAAGAGAGCTGGACGACTAGGGATGATAGAAGGAGAATTGATTCTTTTGAGCTGTGGTGCTGGAGAAGAGTACTGAAAATACCATGGGCTGCTAAGCAAATGGACAGGTTCATCCTGAAGAGGGTTAAACCAGGCTGTTCCTCAGAGGCAAGGGTTCTGAAGTTTCACCTGACATATTATTTTGGACATGTTGTAGGGAAGGACTAGTCCTTGGAGAGGGACATCGTGCTTGCAAGGGGGGAGGGACAGCACAAGAGAGGAAGACCCTCAATGAGATGGATTGATTCAGTGTCTGGGGTAATGGGGGCAGGTGTGTTGAGACAGTGAGATTGGCACAGTATACAGCAGGGTAGGGTTTAAGGCTATTGTATATACGGTCGCTATGAGTCACAGGCGACTCGACTGAACATGAGAACAACCCCTACATATTGATTAGCACAATATCTAACAAAAGGTATGTATTTAATAAATGGTAGTAGCTGTTATTATGACTTTCACTAAAGTGGAGGGATTTAGAGAAAAATAGAATACTGTGTTATGATGAATCATTATAGGTCTAGATTTATAAACCTATTGTGATAGAAAAACCTCAGAGCCTAGGAATTAATTGCAAGTCTGGCAATATCTGAAATGTCCAGATGCAAGAAATATACTATATTACACAGTATGATGTTGTGGTTGTTATGTGCTGTTGAGTTGCTTGTGGCTCCTAGTGACCCTTTGTACAATAGCTCTGAATCCTGCTCTACCTTGAATCAATTTCACTGTCTCCAGCATAGTTACCCCCATTATCCCAGCTACTGGCTCTTCCTCTCTTGCCCTGTCCCTCCACCCTTCCAGGCATGCTGTAATTCTCCAGTCCCTCTTGGTAACAAGCCCAAACTATGTGAGACGGAGCTTCAAAATCTTTGTCTCCAAGGAGTAGCTTGTTTTCACCCTCTCCAGGACAGAACTGTTTGTTCTCTTAGTAGTCCATGATATATTCAATACTCTGCTTTAGCACCACAACTCAAAGACATTGATTCTTCTTCTATCATCCTTAGTCACTGTCCAGTTCTCTGATGCAGAGACCATGACTTGGATTAGGTGTCCCTTCCTCTCTAGACTGACATTGTTGTTCTTAAGTACCCTGGAGAGGTCCCTGACAGCAGATTTTCCCAAATGCAATTGTCTTTTTATTTCCTGGCTGTTGGTACCAAGAATGTTGATTGTGGAGCCAAGCAAACTGAAGCTGTTAACAGTCTCACTCTCTTCTCTATATGTCATGATGCTCTCAATTGGTCCAGTGGTAAGAATCTTTGATTTCTTGATTTTCAATTAATATTTCAATTAATAATCTTGAGCTTCAATTACTATTTAAGGCTGTAGTCCTTGACCTTTTGCACCAAATGCCTCAGGTCCTCCTCAGTTTCAATAAGCAAAGTTTTGTCATCTGTGTAATACAGGTTATTGATGCCACATTCCTCATTCATAAAGTCCACCCTCCCGAATTATCTGTTCCACATATAGATGGAAAAGGTATGGAAATAGGATGCATCTCAATGCACATCTTTTCTGATTTTGAATTATGTAATGTTTCCTTGCTCTGTTCTGATGACCAGTCCAAGTCGAGGTTTCGCACAAGCACAATCAAATGTTCTGGGATTTGCATTCCTCTCAAGGTTAGACACAACTTGTTGTTATCCACATAGTCAAATGCCTTTGCATAGTCAAAGAAATACAGATAGACATTCCTCTGGTAGTTTCTGATTTCAGCTAAAATCCATCTGACATTGGCTATAAAGTCCCCAGTGCCACTGGGACTATACAGTATACTCAACAGGAAATCATACACTCCAAGTGACACAGCAAAAGAATCGTCAAGGATAGATTATGTATACGGAATTGAAACAGATGAGGGAGAGAACAGTTTAAAAGTGATATATGATAGCATATTATGATTATCACAGGAATCCAGAATTAAGGTTGCATAGTGGAGTGCATTTGGGGGGAGGGGCAGCGTCAGGGTCAGGGGGATTGTATACCAATGAAGACGTTTACCTTTTGCTTTTCAAAGAGAGGAGCGAACTGGGGGAGGGGGTAAAGAAAAAAGTGCAACAATGAATGAATGAAAATCCAAAATTTCTGTAAATGTTCATTAAGATTAATAAAATAAAATTAAAAAAAAGTTAAGTGACACTGAGGTACTCTTCATGTGTTAACAATTTTTTAAAAGCTGTACTGTATACACAGTACACTTCCATTCTAATAGAACACACATACACACACACACATTTACATAAGGAGACTCTTTGAAAGAAACACATACAAATGCTATTGATTAGTATATTTGATAGAGAGAATTATGGTGATATTAAATTTTCTTTTTTATTGCTTTTCTTTACATTTTCTATGATGAATATGTATTACTTTTCCAATATATATATACACTTTAAAAGTTATTAAAAAAGAGATGAAGGGAGACAAAACCATCTTCTCGATGATATGAAGTAAGCTCTCTGACAATCCAGCTAAAAGCAGCCAGGCTATGCACACCTAGAGCTCTGCTAGAGATTCAGTCCACACCAGAAAACAGGGCAGGGTCTGTGCAGCCGGGAAAAACAAAGCACACTCTCAGCTTCGTGTCATGGTCTCAATTCACGGTATTCGCCACGCTCTTACCAAAGTCAAGTCTAAATCTTGGAATCATGTTATAACCACTTTATGGCTTAATGCACTTAGTTCAAATGTAATAGTTTTCTACCTTTGGTGATTCTAATAGCAAAAGAGCTTCAAAAATACTCATGTGTTGCCATTTTTTGCTTCTCTCATCAAGGTTTGTTTTCTACGTAAGCCTCCATGTTCGGGGCAGCAAGTGCAGCTGTTGTCTGAGCTGGGGGCACGGCCAGGAATCTGATTTCCAACTTCTGAGTCAGCTCTCCCACCTCACTCTCAATGTTCATGACTCAGAGTAACTCAGTCTGCACTCGGTCTAATCCACTCCTGTTTCCTTGCTCTTTCTGCAGTGGAGAGACATGGGGAGACTCTTACCTTTCCATTTGTCTTGCGGACTGTAACGACCAAGAGGATGCGGTGTGCTATTCTCATTTCTCCTAGAGCTGGTTACAGGATTTGGAGAGGTCTCTAAGCCTGGCTTGCAAAATGCCCCACACTCTGCAGGGTCCTATGGAATGAGAAGAGAAATTACCCTGATGTCTTAAATGTTGTCTCACTTGGTCAACTGAAACACAGCTACACCACGAGACACTTAGGGATCATTTTTCCAGAGTCTACTGCACATAAGGACTCATTTTTTTTTTTAATCAAAATGGCACTGTCCATTGAAACATCTTTGAATGAAAAATGTCAAATGCTGACAACGTGGTGCTAAGGATTTGGAGTGCTGATAGCTAACACAAAGAGGATTAACATTATTCTTATTCTTTCCCCACTTACAAGTGTCTTCTCTCACACTCCCTCCCATCTGGGAGTACAGCTTGTGGCAGTGTCAACTCAAGAATACACTTAATGCCGAGGGGCTTCTCTGCCAACCAGCTGGTTCTTCTCACTTTATTTCTCCCTTTACAACTGAGTTCATGTGCTCTTAGACAAGTCAAGATTCGTCAGAACTCATGCACGTTGGCCTTGCAATTCCATGAGGGGACACCCCACCCCCCCTATAGACAGTGGATCTTCTGCCCAGAAGCTCTACCAAACTGCTGCGTGACATTACCAGACAGTGGCTCTCTCGCGAGCTTTTTTGTATCTCCATATTCCCCACGCCTATTTTGCTTTTGACTGTCTGCAAACAAATTCACAGTTTCACTGAAAACTGCTGTATCTAGAGTAACGTCCCTCAAAGCCATGTTCAACAGGCGTTAACGTGGGAACAGAAGCAAATCCATTCTAGCTCTTTTTTTTTTTTCAAGAGGACGAAGGCTCAGAAAACTGCTTCGTGCTCTTTCTTGTCTCATTTGTCTCCTGAACTGATTTCATGGAAGAAAGTAATAATTTGGAAGACATCTCACAGTTGCTCCCTTAATCCCTTTGTGACAAGATGATGCCACAAACCAAAAAGCTACTGTGATCCCTCAACCGTTTCCCTCTGGAGAAAAGCTCCCGAGTCACTTAATGTCTTGGATTCTTGCTCCTCTTGTGTTTCAAAAACTCAGTGTCCTGCTAGTTAAACTGAATGCTGAAAACATTTGATTTACGCATTCTTAATAATGAAGACATCTGCAGTGGCCACGCATCCTTCTGGGTTGGGTCCAGGCTTAGGACACACTCCCCACACCCATGGCCTCTGCTCCACTGGAGCCAAGCAAACCTTGGTAGGGAGGCAGCTGCCCTTGAATGAAATCCTGAGCTCTTGTGCGGGGGAGAAGCTGAACTGCCTTTGCATGGTCACATGCTTTGAATTAACAACAACAACAACAACATTATTTTATTTTGCTTTCCCAGCTCTTTGATAAATGACACACTCAATATCCCAACAACTGATCAGTAAGCAGCCTAATTAAAGTATTCAGCCTGTAAAATAGAGCTGTCAGGGAGCCCTCCATTAGTGTCCCAGCCAATAAAAAATATAATGGATTTTCAAACATATTCTGCTTCCCCAGGAGTTAGCTGCACAGGGAGGGAATCGCTTTGGGGAGGGGAGGAAAGCAAAACAAAAAAATAAATAAAAAATAAACCAAAAACAAAGCAGGTCATAACCCATTTTTTTAATACCTAGTCTCTAGGCTCAAATGGAATTAGAATTGAACCTCAGACTTTTCCTTTGAAAAAAAAACACAACCCAAAAGTGTTTCTGTTTAAAATGATTTTGATTCAATCAAGGGCTCATTATGTATTCTTCATGAGGTTCTCATCAAAACTGTTTACCTTCCTTGTACAGCTGGGTAATGTGGAAGGGGGAACAGCCCAGTAACTATATATTTTTACTTTTCTTAAGTAGCTCCTTCAATTTTTCATATCAATATAATAACATTCAAGCGACCATTTTGACATTTTCGCCAAACTGAGCTAACTGATTTGCCTGCCTGTATGAGCAGTGTTGAGATGTTTTCTAGGTTACAAGTGCTTTTGTTATTAGACCTGGGGGGGCTGGCTCTTCCACAGGAGAATACACCCAAAACATGAGCACACAACATATGCTTTGAAAACAAGGAAACACAGATTTACAAGATCAAATAGCTGTGGTTCTTCCCCCCCAATGTAATAAAGCTAAGCTGTATCTTTATAAGGGGTAAAGAAAATGCTCTTTAATCATCACTGGTACTACAGAGATTCCCCACAGCTGAGAGTCAAGTGTCTGTTCAGCCCCCACGGAAAGCATGTAAATATTAGGAAAACTCAAAAGGGATCTTGTTTAAATGTCCTCATAAAAATTGCCCTTTGCCCTATTTCGTATTCCTGATTGATCCCCTTGCGAAGTGCACTAATAAGACACTTTTGAGGATAGACAAAGAACTGAAAGTTTAGTACTTCCTTCTAATGAAATGCTTGTCAACCTATTACAGGATGGGAGGACTGAAACTGAACCACTGACAGTCAAGACGAATGCAAAGAATAAATGGCTCCGAGAGATGAGCCAATGTACCTAATACCTATCCACTGCTTCTAACTCACTGCCTCCGAGCTGGAATCAATACACTGCTGACCCTCCATCAGGTTTCTGGAGCTGTAGCAACATGGGATGAGATTGTCCATTCTTCTTCTGAGGAGGTGCTGGTGGATTCAAACTACCAGGAAGTCCTTTGGGTTAACTACTCAGCTCCCTATGGACTATACAGCCAAACTCCAATCCCTAGTTAGACAGACAGATTTAGGGAAAGAGGCAAAATGAATCAGGGTGAGAAAGGGGACAGCTAATTCTTTTAAGAATCATATATTTACACATATTAAATATTATAGATAATGATCATTTATATATGTTATTGTTGTTATGTGTCATCAAGTAGACTATGACGCATAGCGACCGTATAAATAACAGCTCTGAACCCTTCCCTATCCTGAGCCAGTCTCACTGATTCTAATACATCTAATTCCATTGCTCCAGTTATCTTGTCAATCCATCTCATCCGGGCTCTTCCTCTCCTGTGTTATCCCTCCACTCTTCCAAGCATGATGCCCTCCAAGGACTGGTTCCTCCGGGTCATGTGTTCAAAGTAGTGAGATGAAGCTTCAAAATCCTAGCCTCCAAGGAGCAACTTAATTTCACTCTCTCCAAGACAGGCCTATTTATTCTCCTGTCAGTGCTCAATACTCTATTCCAGTCCCACAACTCAAAGGCATCAGTTTGTCTGTCATCCTTAGTCATTGTCTAGCTCTCTGCTGCATAGCAAGTAATTGCTAAGACCATGGCCTGATCAGGGGCACCTTAGTCTCCAGACTGACATCACTGCTCTTAAGCATTTGGGAAAGATCTCTGACAGCAGACTTTCCCAGTGCAATTCTTTTGATTTGCTGACTGCTGGCCAAGAGTGTTGAGATATATAGATATATAGAAATAATTTCTTTTGCTATCTGCATGAGTATTATACTCTACAGCAGTGGGTTCTATCAACTGTAGCATTTCCTTTTAACTGAGATATTTCTGTTTGAAGAAATCTTAAGGGAGATCCAATAGTGAGATACATAAAAAGGGTGTCTCAGGGGTTTGTAGGTTATCTTTCATATTGCAATCCTCAGGATGGGTTCTGGAGTCCCTGGACTCTATAGTAAGAACTAAATTACACTAAACCGCAGCAAATTCTCTCATGATAAGGTGAAATTGATAAAGACTTTATAGCTGTGTGCACAAGTAAGATCCATTAAATATTCATGGAAGGCACTCTGTCACTTAAGCAGAAGCAAATGTTGAAACCTACATGTGTTCATTATATATAGGCTCCAGTAATTGGCCAATTTACATTTATTTAACATCTACAAGGTGATGTACAGAAGACTATAAGTGTACAGTTACTCCTTCCAATAACTGTTAAAAGGAATGTGGAGTTCCTAACTCCTTCACTTCCCTCTCTTCGATGAAGTATGTCTCACATACAACTTTTCCCCCTAACCCCTGCATTTTTATTGGTATGCATATAATTATTCATATACATTGAGTTTCATTCATATACATAGTGTGTTTCTGCAATTTTTAATAATACATTTAATAGATATTTATTGTCTAATGTATGCTGAAAAATCAAGAAATGTTAAGAGATAAAATAGGTGGTAATTTATATCATCAATAAACATTGAATGTGGTTACATTACTAGGAAACAGCAAACCTGAAATCTGAACCCAATCAATCCAAACTCAAACGTCCCTGAGGTGCAAATGTTTTCTATGTTCTGCAGCTAACTAGAAAGGCTGCAAGGCTGAGCCCAGCCACAGGTGCCCTGAAAGAAAGGCCTGGCTATGTCTTCTGACACACAGAGAGTCACACTGAATTGGAACTAACTCTCCTCCTACTGGTTAACATGAAACTCCAGAATCCAAGCTTCTAAGCATCTGCACTTTTGTTTAACTTAATACTTTCCCTTTTAAATTTTTAAGTTGAATTTAATATTAAACCTAATATTGTGCATTAGTGGCTTTTCCCACTGTATTGTATTTGAACTTTACATAAAGTTTCACTATGCAAATACTACTTGTTCTTTGAGAATATTCTGATATGATATGTAATTTGCTGAATTTTTTAACTTACTGCCATCAGTTTTTTTCTCCTTGCCTTCTCTAAAAACAGATTTTAGGAAAAATTTTATGATTATCCTATTTACATAAGGTAAAATTTTAAGTAAAATTCTGTATTTATTATTTGGATATAAATGAGTTCTTGTTGTGTGAGGTGTCGTCAAGCCGAGTACGACTCATAACAATCCTATGAACAAAAGATCTAAACCCTGCTCTATCCTGCGCCATCCTCATACTTCCTGATACTGAAGAGCCCACTGCAGCCGTCATCACATCAACCCACCTGGTTGAGGGTCTTCCTTTCTTCCGTTGATCAATATTTAGGAATATTTTATGCTTATCTTTTTGTGTCATTGAAACAGTCCTTAAAATTGTAAATTTCTGTAAGTAACCATGACAAAAGATTTCCAAAATAAGATTCCCATTTACTTAATAACATGAAGCGAGTAGCTTGCTTAATGGATCAAGTTTAAATGAGTTAAGTGCCAGATCCATATTATCTGTGTGCAGACTATGGGATGAATCAGAGAGCTGACTGCATCATAATGTTCTTCATGTTAAACTTTGACACAAACCTGATTAAGAATTTACTAAGGTTTGGACACTGTTAGTATATCAACCAAATGCGATACAAGGATGATTATGAGCACATCCAGGTTTTAGGAATTTCTATGTGGAAAAGCAAATACTAGAGGAAATAGTGTATTGTTGTTAAGTACTGTCAAGTCACAGGGGACTCACAGCGACCCTATAAATGAAAGACCTGGACACCTGCATAACTTTCGTCCTTTCTCCAGATTCATAGGGTTTCCAGAGGCAAACTATTACGGAAGTGGATGCCACTCTTGCTTTCAAGCTTGTTTTAATCGGAGAACTCCACCAAACACTGTCCACCATGAGTAACCATTCTTGCATTTGACACATCAGTGTCACAGTGTTCAGTTTCACAGCAACCATGAGTTACCTCTCTGTACAGCAAGTGGACAGACCAGGCCTATACTACCTAGATGAATGTTTCACCAAAAACAATCAAAGACAGGCCTAAGGGCCGCGGATTAGAGTCACCCACCTTTGACTTAGAAGCATCACTTTCCGCCCACTTAGTCCACCTGACCTCTCTCTATGCTGTTGTTGTTGTTAAGTGCCGTCCTGTTGTAGGCAACTCATATAGGAAATATTAGACTTGATAAAATACTTTATATGCACAATTTAAATTTCCATATACTTAAAAACCACCTGTTTCCTACATTGATCCACTCAATTCCATCTGAAGCCTATTTTCTCAATTGTGGAGTTGATATGAGTCTAGCTTTACCATTACTGATGAAGTTTGCATGATATCCATTTGGACACTGTGCTGAGGGAAGTAGGATTTACATCACCTCTACGGGTCTCTCTGGCCGCCTCAGAATCACCAGCTGGATCATCCCCCGGATGTTTCCTTCCATGGACATCGATCGCCTCAGTGTTTCCATAGCTTCATGGTTGGACTTTCCCAAAAGAGATTCCCCATTGACTGCAATCAGCTGGTCATTCATTCGCAGACGGCCATCCTAAAACAGAGGAAAGGAAAGCAATATGAAACAGAGGGGAAAGCATGATGACGACTTGTGATTGTTTCAAAGATGTGTTCAAGTTTTAAATGGAAAAGGGAAGGGTGGGAGGGAAACAACCTTCTGTTAATAAGACTGATTCCACATCAGAAGAGATGGTTCTGGACCTTATCAAGCAGTCACAAATACTAACCATAATGAATTGCACAAAAGTGCTTCTGAGAAATCTTACGAGTCCTAAGTTGCAATAATTGAAACATTTGGATAATGCCTCCTGCCCAAGTCTGTGGCAACTGGGCTAATTTAACCTGATTTGGACCATTTGTTCTGGCAAAAACCGTATGGCTGAATTAAGGGAAAAATATTTACAAACAAAATTTCCTGTCTAAATCTCTTCAGCTTGTTGTTGTTGTTGATTATCATAGAATCGGTGTTGAGCACGACACACAGTGACCCCATGAATAAAAGGCCTGAAGCCTTTCTATAACTATTGTTGTTTCTCAAAGTTCATAGAGTGTCTAGTAGTATGTTGTTTAGGAAGTGGATGCCACTCCTGCTTCCAAACCTGTCATAAACTGGGAATTCCACCAAACATTGTCCACCAAGGGTAACCATTATACCATTTGACACCCCAATGGCACAAGGTTCAGCATCACAGCAACCCCAGGTTACCTCAATGCAGCATATTGACAGAAGAATGCTATACATAGAAGAATGTTCCTCCAAAATATAGTAACAACAACTGATGTTTAAATACAAAGGCCTTACTGACTCTAAACTAGAGGCTTAGATAAAATAATAGTCAATGTGCTTAACTGGAGCATGGTTGGCAGTAGCAATGTGTCTCCTAGACATAGTCGCCAGCTCTACTCAACGAGATTAGGGGGCTATCATTTCTGTTACACAAGCATATTTTCTTAGTCTGTGGGGAAGCAGAGAGAAGCATGTGAAGGTCAAATGTGCTATGATGGTTTCTGCTATAAACATATGACAAAGGGGATTTTTAGTGGGACCTTCTGGTGAGCATCTTTGGGAAAGAACACCTCCATTACAAAGCAGAAGGAACCTGGCATCTCAGAGCTGGACAGCACTCTAAATCACTTCTATCAGAAGATCATCTTCAGCCGAGACATCTCACAATTCAGAGTCTACAGCAGTAGCTAACAATCTGGGATTTCAAGTTCTTCCTTTCCTCACCAAGCAGCCTGGGAGGACAGATGCTTAAAAATGTTAATAGTCAGATTGAGTACATGCCATGTCCTGGACCCATTTTATGCAAAGGTCAAAAATTCTTGCTGTGAGATACAGAAGGCAGCAGGATTGCTATGATACTGCCGCCATTAGTAATTCCTTCAACAGAAATAATAGTGGACATGTATAATAATTTATCTTTCCTAAAACTTTTCTGTAAACCAGCGGCAGTGATTCTCAATAAAAATGCCCAGCTAGCAGAGAGCATGTGTTAACTTGCATAATACAAATAAGAAAGCAGTTGTCATGTACCGTTGGGTCGGAACTGACTCACAGCTGACACTCCAGTGGATTGTCAGAGGCAGTAAATCACGTACCTCTCTTTCTCCTGTAGAACAGGTGGTGGATTTGAACTGTGTGCTTTAGGCAGAATACTAAATGATCCAGGAAGTATTAAAAGAAGATGGAAGGAATATACTGAGTCACTGTATCAAAAAGAACTGGAAGACACAGAAGAATTTCATGAAACAACATATGAGCAAGAGCCTATGGAAGGTCAAGCTGCTTTGAAAGAAACAGCAAAAAATAAGGCCCCAGGAATAGATGGTATACCAATTGACATATTTCAGCTAACAGATGCTGCCCTGGACATGCTCACCAAGTTGTGCCAAGAAATATGGAGAATAACCACCTGGCCAGCTGAATTAAGATCTGTATTTGTTCCCATCCCAAGGAAGGGTGACCCAACTGAGTGTGTAAACTATAGAACAGTATCATTAATTTCACATGCAAGCAAGATTCTACTGAAGATTATCCAAAATCAACAGGAACAACCCATCAGCAGAGAACTGCCAGAAGTCCAGGTTAGGTTTAGAAGGGGTCGTGGTACTAGGGATATTGTAGCTAATGTTAGATGGATCTTAGCTGAAAGCAGGTAATACCAAAGGAATGTCTATCTGTGTTTCATTGACTATGCAAAGGCATTTGACTGTGTGGATCATAATAAACTGTGGCTGACTCTGAGAAGAATGGGAATACCAGAACACTTGATTGTGCTAACGAGAAACCTATACTTGGACCAGGAGGCAGTTGTCAGAACAGAGCAAAGAAACACTGCATGGTTCAAAACTGGGAAAGGCGTGTGCCAGGGATGTGTCCCGTCTCCATACCTTTTCAAATGCAGAGCAGATTATTCGGGAGGCTGGGCTCTATGAGGAGGAATATGGGGTCAAGATTGCTGGAAGATCTATCAACAGTCTGTGATATGCAGATGATACAACCCTGCTTACTGAAACTGAGGAGGACCTGAAGTACTTGCTGCAGAGGGTCAAGGACTGCAGCCTTCAATATGGATTGAGGCTCAATGTCAAGAAGACAAAGATTCTCACCACTGGGCCAATTGGCAGCATCAGGATGGATGGTGAAGAGATTGAGATTGTTTACAGCTTCAGTTTGCCTGGCTCCACAGTCAACACTCTCAGCACCAGCAGCCAGGAAATTAGAAGACGTACTGCCATGGGAAAGTCTGCTGTTAGGGACCTCTCCAAAGTACTGAAGAGCAATGGTGTCTCTTTGGAGACTAAGGTGAATCTGATAGAGGACATGGTCTTTGCTATCACTTGTTATTCATCAGAGAGTTGGACAATGACTAAGAAGGAGAGAAGGAGAATTGATGCCTGTGAGCTGTGGTGCTGGAGAAGAGTATTGAGGGTACCATGTACAAACGGATTCATCCTGGAAAGGGCTAAACCAGGCTGCTCCTTGGAGGCAAGGATTCTAAGGCTCCGTCTAACATACTTTGGACATGTTGTAAGGAGGGACAGGTCTCTGGAGAGGGACATCATGCTTGGTAGGGTGGAGGGACAGCGCAGAAGGGCAATGCCCCCATGAGGTGGATTGATTCAGTGACTGGGGTAATCGGGATGGGTGTATCTGAGATGGTGTGATTGGCACAGGACAAAGCAGAGTTTAGGGCTGTTGTACATAGGGTTGCTATGAGTCGCAAGTGACTCAATGGCACATGACAACAACAACAAACAACCTTTGGATTGGCAGTGGTATTCAATATCACGAAGCCATAAGAGCTCCTCCAGGCCGGTGATAAAATGGTACATAATTTGCCTGAGGTTAAAAAGGCAAACTCAAGCTTGAACTCACTGTCAACAGAACAGTTCTGACTCCCAGCGACCATCCATTGGGTTTCCAAGGCTACAAATGGCAGGGCAAGAAGATGTCATGACTCTCCCAAAGAATGGCTCATAGATTTGGACCAGTGGAGATGCTCAGCTTTTGGGTTACTAGTGCAGTTCGCTACTGACTACACCTGATTTCACTAATTCAGGCCATGGGTTTCTCAGTCACCTCTATGCATCTGAGAGCTGGACAATGAATAAGGATGACACAATTAAAACTAATGCCTTGGAACAATGGCGTTGGAGATGAGTGCTTAATATGTCATGAGTTACCAAAAGAACAAACTATATATCCTGGAAAAGGTGCTGCCACTGAGCCCCCTAGAAGCAATGATGATGAAGCTTTGTCTCATATATTTTTGGGCACGTTTCTAAGGGAGGTTATTCCTCGGAGAGGAGCATCCTGCTCGGAGAGGAGGAGGGTCAGCAAAGGAGAGGAAGACCCTTAACCTGGTGACCTGACACAGTGACTATGGCAATGAGCTTGAGCATCAAAGATTGTGAGGATGGCACAAGATAGGATAGCGGTCAGATCCATGGTTCTTGGGATCTCTATGAGTTGTACTCTACTGAATGGCACCTAACAGCAACAACAACAACAACAATATCTGATTTAGATTTGAGTTTTCTATATCTAGACTTTTGGTGTTCCTATTTTAATTCCCTAGTTTTGAGACGCTAATAGGAAAAGAAAATATTACATGTTTTTGTAGTTAGAAGTATCTGGAATCTATGTTCAAATTAACAGAATGGGGTAGGGAGGGACTTTCCTTAGAAATGAGAAAACCAGACATACCAGTGAACAATAGAAGCCAAGCACATAGCTTTGGGAGAGAAAGCCTGTGGACAAGTTGATAAACTCTGACTAATGCAGTAGCAGATGGTCAGAGGAAGTTCCTGTGCTGACAGCAGGGGAGGAAAGAGTGGCGAAAGGCGCCCTAGAGCCCCTGTGAGGACCCACTGCATATGCCGAAGGCAGGAGAGGGTGTTCTCTACACGGACTGCAGAGGCAAAACAAAGGAGCACATGCCTTCTTGGTGAAGAAATTGAGATGGTGTAGTAACGGTCTCAATATGGAGGAGCGTAAAATCCAAGATGCAAATGTTTAAGTGGAAAGCCTTGACAGAGCTTAATATCCCCTCCCTTCCTCTTATTTTCCCATTTCACTTAACCTTTACCCTAATTCGGAGCAAGTCTGGAAATGAGATTTACTGGAAAGGCCAACAAGGGGAAAAAAAAAATCTCTTCATTTCTGTTATCTAATTTTGAGTGAGGTCACATGAAGAATAAGATTAAGGCTACATGAAGAGGAGTAAAACAAAAACAGCCTTAATGGTTTAGTGAAATGAGATACAACTCAAGAGATTATTCCATTCTATTTTGGTAAATAATGGAAAGAGAGCTGCCGGGCGGAATCTTGAGGAGGAGCGGAGGAGGGCCACTAGAAACCTTTTCAGGATGAATGCGGAGAGATGTGTGCCTGTTAACAAGGGGAAGAATCAGAAGATTTGGCTCATGATCCTAGCATTGTTAACAGGAAATGAGATCTGGTGTTCAGATTGGGAGAGGTTTAGTCTGGACAGGATACTTCAACCTCTATAATAGGAAGAAGAATGA